TCTTTCTTTCTTTCTTTCTTTCTTTCTTTCTTTCTTTCTTTCTTTCTTTCCTTCCTTCCTTCCTTCCTTCCTTCTTCCCTCCCTCCCTCTCTCTCTTTTCTCTCTCTCTCTCTCTCTTTCTTTCTTTCTTTCGTTCTCTCTATCTCTATCTGTCTATCTCTATCTGTCTATCTGTTCTCCTTTAGTTTGTTCTCTTACCTTACAGACTCTCTATATGCTGGTCTAAGTCACTGAGATCTGCCAAAGCCTTTGCCCTACTTATAAAGCTCTTATCACACTAAAGGGCTCAGCAGAGACACTAAAGCTCCACGCTAGCCTCAAAGTCTCTGCTGGAACATTCTTTTCTTTATCTCCTCTGTGAACACAGCTCTGGCTGGCCCAGTGAACTGGGTTCCAACAGTTTCTCTTCTTCCTAGTTCCCCCAGTATTATTTGCCCCTCCTCTGTGGTCATCCCATTTAATATGTTTCAGTCTGGGAGGAAACAATTACACAACAGCAAGGGTCTGGGATCTGAAGGTGTAGTGTTGATTATATGCTGATTGGGAATTACCTTCATCCCTTCTTGTTAGAGAAGCACCTCATTGTGAGTTATTGCTTATGATTATGATTGGTTACTTGTCTAACTCTGGCTGTAGCAGAGAGTAGGGAATGCCATATGTTTGTTTGATCCAGGCACATAGCTTCCCACAACAAAATGAGATTTCTTAGCATTTCTTTTTTTATGATTTATTTATCTTTATTTTTTATGTGCATTGGTGTGAAGGTGTCAGATCCCCTGGAACTGGATTTACAGACAGTTGTGAGCTGCCATGTGGGTGCTGGGAATTGAACCCAGGTCCTCTGGAAGAGCAGTCAGTGCTTTTAACCGCTGAGCCATTTCTCTAGCCCCAAAATGAGGTTTCCTGTTAATATAGGAAAGACCATAGGTATTGGCTAGCTGGGCATAAAGGAACTTTAGATAAGGCAGATTTAGCAGAGTTTATGTGAACAGAGACTGATGAATGAACAGATTGGCACTTGGAACGTGGAGGGGTTCAGAAAGCTCCATCCAGCCCTGAGGGCAGCAGTATTTACAGGAAAAGGAAGTAATACACAGAAACACGCGTTGGCAACAACTCTCCACTCCCCTCATGTAGATGTGGTGCAGTGAGCTGCCAGCCTGTGACCCGCTGAAGCGTGGCCATTGGGATCATCTGAAACCAAGCTCCTTGCTGCACGAATATATTCCTGTTAGGTTTCAATTCGTTTGCATACTAAATTAAGCTGCGGTTTGCTGCAAGGAACTTAGAAGTTTGGAGGCAAACTCAGGCCAAATTTAGTGTAAGTTAATTCTACCACATGATAGAAAGCCTCCATCTGTGAGGCTTAAGCCAGCAAAGTTTATTATCTTGTGTCTGGGAAGTCTGGAGGTAGGCAGTTTAACGCTGTCTGGTGTCTGTGGCAGACTAGCCAGGGCCTCAACTGTTTCTATGTCTTCCTGTCCCAGCAGGCTTAGTGCGTGTCTTCTTTGTCACATATCAGGATAACTGCTCCATCTGCAGCGCCAACTTTTGTATTCTAGGATTCAGGCTCTGTATTGTACAAGGACAAATGGCAGGCACAATACCTCCCTTTCAGAAGCGTTCCTGGAAGCTCCCATCTGTCAACTTTCCCCGTGTATCTGTGACTCGTGTGTGTGTGTCACTTGGCCAATTCTGGTTCGGTGGAAAGCCGGAGATGCTTCACGAAGTGCATAGCTCCTCGTGCCAAAATAAAGTTTCTTGTTAATCTAGGAAAGAAAGAGACAAGAGTATTCATACCTTCTAATGATGGGGACTTTTATATAGTGGCACTGTGAAGTGAGTTCCCTTGCAAACTTATCCTTGGAATGGAGACTCCCTCGCCTCTCCTGTCTATTCTTATTCTTGCTGAGTAGTGGGATTCTGCAAATGGGGTGGGGTATAGGTTAATCCTTCCTGACATCCTCCTCCATAGTCATTGTCACCAGGACAACTTGTCTTCCTCTCTGTTCTCGGCAGCCTGGAGGAGAACCACATCGGTGACGAAGGGGTGTGTTCTCTCGCAGAAGGACTGAAGAGAAATTCAAGTTTAAAAATCTTGAAGTAAGTTCCTTGTGATGGTACAATAATGCCCTGCCTGGGGGGGGGGTTAGGGTCAGAGGTCAGGCTCTGGCCGTCTCTGGAGCCTCACTGAGGTATCTGGTGGGGAAAGCTTGCCTTGGCCTGGGCAGGTGAGGCTGCCAGTGCTCACTGCTTACCTGGCATCTGGGTGGTCCTGGGAAGCGTTGCAGGAAGAGGGGGTTTAATGTGGCTGGAAGGGATGGTGACCACAGAGGGTGGACCCGGGGGTGGTTATCCCTAAGGAGCTTAGAACTTGTGCTATCAGGGCCTCCAGGAGTTGGCAGAACACACCCACCCAATACAAGAGTGGAGCAGCAGGATACTTACCCTCAAGTACATGCAAAACATGTGTCTGTGGGGCTGTCTGTTGTCCTGAACTTGCAGCCTATTCTCACATGGCTGAGCTTGCTCTGAGAGTCTAGGGCAGTGGTTCTCAACCTGGGGGTCGAATGACCCTTTCATAGGGATCTCCTAAGACCCTATGAAAACATAGAGATTTATATTACAACTCATAACACTAGCAAAACTACAGTTATGAAGCAGCAAGGAAGATAATTTTATGGCTGGGGGGTTCCCAAAGCATGAGGAACTGTATTGAAAGATCAAAGCATTAGGAAGGTTGAGAACCACCGGTCTACATAGTGGCAGAGGTCAGCAAACGACACTCAGCATTGGAAATGTAAGTTGAAGGAGCACGGGTGGGCTGACTGACTGTATCTGTTGTGTGTGTGACTTGGGGGCGTCCTCCTTCCTCCAGGGGCCACTGCTGCTCAGGCAGAAGGACTGTTTGGATGGTCCTTTCCAGTGGTATCTCCTGGTGTGACCTGTGGCCTGAGTGCTGGTGTCTGCGCCTGTGCGCATTCATCCATGGATTGGACAAGTGTTCGCACACCCATCCATGCGTGTATATAGGAAGTGACCCTGCCCTAACTCTGTGTCAGGTGGAAAGGACAGGCAGAGCAGGCTCTTATTCTCCCAGTTTGCCCACTCTCATGGTGGAGACAGATGGTAAACAAAAGGCTCATTCTAGCTCACTTCTGGCTAGGAGGCAGCTGTGTCAAGGGGAGGTTTGGTTGCCGCCATTTGGACAGGGCCTTTCGGAAGGTGGGATTTGACTTCAGACTGGAAAGGCTCACGTCACACTGGAGCCTGGGGAAATACACCCAGTGCACGGAACAGCAAGTGCTGCTGGAGCACTTGGGGACACTTGCATGTCATTGATCGGGTGTGGAGGTGGTAGCAGGCCTGTCCTTCCTCATTGCCACACTTTGCCTCACTCGATCCTAAAGGAGGTCAGGCAGGGGTGGGAGTGGGGAGAGGCCTGTGTTGCTTGTTCCCAGGCTGATTCTTAAGCATTCCGCGTAGCAATAACTACACCGTTCCATTTCCTCATAGTATCTGTCTGTCTGTCTGTCTGTGTGATGAAATAAAGAAAGAGAAACAGGATGGAGAGAGGAGAGAGAGAGAGAGAGAGAGAGAGAGAGAGAGAGAGAGAGAGAGCGCGCCTATCTCTTTCTTTTTCCACTGTTTTCTCTGCCAAGTGTTGGTTGGAGTCCAGGCTTCACAGACACGGTCTCTCCTTGGACAGAAGCCCTAGTTGCCTCAAGTGTAAAGGGATAGTAATTGGCCTCCGCATGGGTTCTGAGCCTGCACTGACGTAACAGGCAGAGAGTTGGCACACAGGAAAAGCTCAGCGCATGCTGGTATTGTTCTTAGCATGGCTTTGATGGCAGATGTGCAGCAGGCCAGTGCTAGGGAGGAAGGCAGATGGGGTAGTAGTTCCTAGAAGGTGAGGCTAGGAACCAACGATTCCAGTGTAGATCAGCTCCTGTCTCAGCCTCTATCCCTATGTCCCCGTGCACCGCTGTCTGTGAGGTACTCTCTACCAGTAAGGTGCTGTGCCAAGAGCTCTTGCTATGTTGTTTCCTGTTAAGTTTTACTCTCTGTGAGTCAGGCACTTCCTTATTCAGACAAATTTGCTGAAGAGCAAATGGTAGAGGCTGGATCTAAACCCTCAGAAGCCTGGCACTGAACTGTGGGGCTCGGCCCTTATGTCCTCCCCAATGTGTGACCAGATCTGTGAGTGGAAGAGGGACTGTCTTCACAAGAGCATTGGCCCTCGTAGATGATATCACTGGCTTGTGTGCTAGACTTCCCGAAACCGGACAGGCTCAGCAGAAGACCAAGTGTTACAGTAGCGCGTCTTGTCTACTTCTCTTCCAGGCTGTCCAACAATGGCATCACTTACCGGGGTGCAGAAGCCCTCCTGCAGGCCCTCGGCAGGAACAGTACCATTCTGGAAGTTTGGTAAGGCCACTGGAGAAACTTCTTTGCTTTTCCAAACCCTGGTTTTCATATCTGGGAGATGGGATGAGAGGAGAGATGAATAATGGAATTTTGAAGACCAGCTTTGTCCAAAATTTTCTATTATTCTGTACACAATAGATTTAGATCTCTGGCTATAAAGGAAGTCAGTGTCTCTAAGGAGGGGCCAATTCTGTTCAAAATCAGGGTGTGGTGGTGTGTAACTATAATCCAGGTATTCAAGAGACTGAGGCAGGAGGATTTTTTTTGTTTTGTTTTTCTAGACAGGGTTTCTCTGTGTAGTCTTGGCTGTCCTGGAACTCACTTTGTATACCAGGCTTGTCTTGAACTCACAGTGATCCACTTGCGTCTGCCTCTGGAGTGCTAAAGGCATGCACCATCACCATGGGGAAAGAAGGAGGATTTTGAGTTTTAAGTCAGCCTAGGTTACAGAGTAAAATCCTGTCTCAGAAAGACAGACAGACAGAATGAACAAACAAAAGACAGACAGACAGACAAGAAGGAAGGAAGGAAATAAAGAAAGAAATCAGGAGTATTTATTCTGAGACTTTGGTCTTCTAAGCTACAAAGTAGGAATAGGGGTGTGGTTAGATAATTAAAACAAGAACCCCATTATTCACTTCTGGCCATGACATCAGCTCTTACAGATTGAGGATGCTATGTGAGATCTTCTGCACCTTTGATTTCTGAAGATTACACAGGGTGGGGACTACAGTACGGCATGGCCACATCTGTATCATTAAAAGCCACAATCATCCATGTGTTTGAAAAAGGCTTTCAGATACAACTTTGATTCAGGCTCCTGTTTCTCATGTAGAAAACAGAAAGGAAGGCTCTGGTTTAACACATAATGGGTGAAAATTACGATTTGCGTGTTTCAGGCACTGGTCTAGATATCAATACTTTAAAACTAAGAGAGTCCCTGGAAGGGTCTGTACTTCAGATCAGGTATGTATGATGAGGCATGCCTGTGGTCCTGATGCTTAGGAGACTGAGGCAGGATTATGAGTTCCAGCAAGTCTGGGCAAGAGCCTATCTCCAAACAAAACAAGCACATTTTTTCAGTATTTCCTCAAAAATGCTGTCTACACTAGGACCCTATTTTCTCTGTCTTCCTGCTCACCCATCCCCACTCCCCACCTCAGACAGAATCTCATGTGACCCAGGCTGGCTTCAAACTCACTGTGTAGCCAAGGATAAACTCCTAATTCTTCTGCCTCCACCTCCCAAGTGCTGGGGTTACAGGTGAGTACCACCATGCCTGACTTGGAGTGAAGCTCCGTTGTCAATGCCAGACATTTAACCAGAGAGGAGGAAAAGTTGGCCCTTCTTAGGTGGGCCAGCTCTAAGAGTTGGCTGCAGTCCCACACAGCGTATTACCTAGACAGGTCCCATCGGCACTTGTGTTTTATGGAGTAGCAAACAGATTTCAAATAGTGAAATTGAAACCAAAGCTGAAACCTGAGCTGGAGACACTTTGCTTCTTGTGTGACTGTGAAGTTTCATTGTTGGGGAGGTCAGGTAGTCTAGCGTTTGAAACAGCATGCTTGTTGTTGTTGTTGCTGTTGTTGTTTTAAATCATTGTACAGGCCTCAGAAATGTCCCATTCTGTTGTCAAGGAGTAGGCCAGCCTCAGGCTGCTTCTTAAGGGTTTTGATGCCCCTCACTGCTTATTGATGAAGCTGTGTGGGCATGAATTTTGCTCACTTCGTTCTTAACCGATGTGATTATTGCCTGAAAAAGAATAGCAGGCCCCGGGAGTCTGTAGCTGGCGTGGCTCAGTGTTGCTCATTCTTTGGGGTGGTCCTGATAGCCCTGGGTGGCAGATGCTAAAAACAGAACCCCTTACATCTGGTAAGCCTGAGGCTGGGGCTGAGCATGAACCCCTCCCAGGCATGGGTTTAAGGGTGGCCACTTTCCTTGCAAGTCTCCACTCAGATCTCCCTTCCTTTCATCCCCGTAGGCTCCGAGGGAACATCTTCTCCCTGGAGGAAGTCGAAGCCCTCGGCTCCAGTGACAGCAGACTCCTGCTATGACATCCCAGCCTTGGAGGTGTGGACTCTGGAGGCTGAAGAGCTCCAGGCAATATACCTGTGCTACTCAGGGCTGGACTTCTTTCCTGGGAGCACTATAGTCACCTTGTGATAGCAGAAAAAGATGCTCCAGTGGCCTCCAGAACTGACTTCCCCCAAGGATGCATGAAGTTCACCTTAGTTAACTGAACTGGATTAAGAGACACGAGGGACGTGAGGACCGCACTTCCGTGGGTCTAGAGAGGATCATCGAGTAGGACAGTGGCTGAGAGGGGAAGGAACTTGACGGAATATGGGTAACACAATCCACTGGGCGCCCCGTGGGAGGAAGCTGACAGAGGAGGAAGATAGCGTGTACTTGCATGCACGAGCCCCTCTTCTTCCTGAGTGAGGACGGCTGTGGCTGCCGCCATCGCCTTTGCACAGCAGACTCCAGCTTCTTTGGCCTTCAACACGGACCCATCGCCAGCGTCACTTCAGGGAGCTTCCAGGCCTCGAGTCGGATGAAACTGCTGAGGTGTCCAGTCTCTTCCTGGGCCAGGGCAGCGGCCAGATTCTCTGCCTCTCCAGACGGCTATTGTTGGACTACCCAGACGGCTATTGTTGGACGACCCAGCCCCGATGGATGGTGAATTTGAGAAGTTCCCTTTCTTTTTCCCTCCCTCCCTCCCTCCCTCTCTTCCCCTTGTTTCTTTCTCTCCCTCCTCCCACCCACCTTGTTTGTTCTGTTCCTCAGAGGAACTCTGGCTAATGCACCTGCTTTTACTTTCTTGTATTTTTTTTTTTCTAGACTCTAAGCATGAGATGAACACAAGAGGATCCCTCCGACAGTATGTGGCCAGCGTTCTAACGGGGGTCAGTCAGGACCATGGATGTCAACTCGGCCTGTTGGTGTGGAGACCTCCATATAAGACACCCTCCTCCTCTTCTCTCTCTTGGAGAGGAATATTCAGGAAACAGCTCTTAGCTTTGTCTGGACTCAGCTCACCCTCTAAGGTCATCCCACTCTGGTTCCCTCTCTCACTCCGCATGAGGCCCAACAGGACCCCAACCCAGACAGCCGACACAATACCTATCCTGCTCTCCTTTCTTAACGCAAACAACAGTCATCCCCCACCCCCACCCCAGGATGTTCTAGATTTACGAGAAAAAACATGGCCATACCCCAGCTGGGATCACAGGTGGACTTTGGTTTCCAGTAGCATCAGTTGCTCTGTAGCCACCGTGCCTTTGGAGTCCGTTCCTGTCCCAGCTGCAGCTTTTTAGAGCTAATCTGGGCCAGAATTTCAAGCAGCTCCAGCAGGGCCTCGAGCTGGTGCCTGTGGACCGAGCACTGACAATGGACTTCTGAAACATCCCTAACAGACCCCATTTGATCTGTGACAGATGCTTTAGGACGCAGAGTCAGGGGTCGGAGGTTTGCAGGGGACGAACCTGGCCCCCTTTTTTTTCTAGGCGAGGTCTTTTTGTGTTTTTTATTTTTTTTTCAAAATGTCACCTTTGTAATTTGTTAACTATACAGATTTACTGTCTTCTATATCATTACGTGTGAAAACAGGTGAATATTTATGAACTGCATTGTTTTATTTTTAAGCTGGTATTTTTATAGAAAATGTGATCATGAACTTTCTGCTATAAATAACCACAGAGGGGAAAACTCTGGAGTTACCAAAGCTGTGTTCATTGTGATGAAGCCTTTAAAAATATCTCCCAAACCTGTCAAAATTTCAGAGTCCCGTGTCCCACAACGAGGGGGGGGGAACGATGTTGTTTTCTATTGAATAATTTATTGCTTAACGCAAAAGCAATTCTTAGAAATTGCTGGCAGTTGCAACACATTTGGCTTCAACTTAGTGGAGTCTAACCCAGCGTGAAATCTGAAGCTATTCTGGAGCCTTCTAGGGTGCATGGGGACAGCCCTCTGGGCCCTCTGTAGTTCTTTCCAAATGACTGTAGGAGGAACTTTTACCAGGAGGAAGGTGAAGAAGGCAGGAATGTGCTCCAGCAGCCTGCTGCACTGGCTTGCCTGGCACAAGACTTAGCCATTCTCTGTGAGCATGTGCATGGTGGCTGCTGGCTGTGATGGAGTCCTGCTTCCTTGGAGGTCTTCGGTGTGTCTGGTGTGTGTGTGTGTGTGTGTGTGTGTGTGTGTGTGTGTGTGTGTGTATGTCTGTCCATTGTCTCTTTGTCCCTGGGGTTCTGCCCTGCCTGGGTTGGTGGTGCAGATGATGAGGGAAGAAGATGGAGATGGAGCCACCTTCTCTAAGGAGGGAATATAGTGGCTATTTTCGCAGCACCATGTTGGATGGTAAGCTCATCTTTGGTAATAATTCATTAGCTAGTTATGTCCAAACAAATGGCCACTGTCCTTGTCCTCAAAGCAGGGTTAGGGCAGAGGGAAAGGTAGACAGAAAGCAAGTCCATTAAAAGTACATGTATAAAATGATACTTTCCTATTAAAGTACTAGGAAGGGAGCTGCTATAGCTGGGATTTAAATGTTCCTCAGAGGCCCATATGCTGATGGCTCGGTGCCTGGCTTCTGATGCTATTGGAGGTAAAAACTTGAGGAAGTAGGGCCTGATGGAGAGAAGCGAAGTCATCGGGAGTCATGCCCTTCTCCTGGATGTCAGGACCTCCGATCCTTTCTGATCGTCTACCATGAGGTGAACAGATTCTGTTAACCATGTTTCTGCTGCCATAGACACACTACTGCCCTAGGCCCACAGCAGCAAGGCAAGAGACCAGTGAGCTAATTAAACCTTTCCACCTCAGATGCCCTTCACCTTGGGTATTCCTCACCTCCTCGGAAGAATGCCAAGATCCTGAGAAATAAGCAGACAGGAGGGCCAGGGCGCTTTCTTCTGATGCGCTAGGAAAGCTGTGTGCTCATGGGAAGGAGCTGGCCAGGCCACCGGAGAGAGGGCAGAGGGGCTTTCAGTGCCATGGAGCCAGCTGCACAGAGACTGTTCAGACAAGATCCTTGATGTGCAGCAGGCTGAGTGACGGTCCCCAAAGACATCAGGTTCTAGCTCCCAGGACCTTTCTTAGCAGAAGGGACTTTGTAGGGTTTCTTGGAATAAGGGTGGTGGTAGCTATGAACTGTCTGGTCGGCCCTGCACACTTGTGTGCGTCCTTATGAGAGACAGGTATGGGGGATGGCATGGCACAGGAGGCCTCATGACAACTGAAGCAAACGCCATGCTGCTGGCCTTGAAGGTAGAAGGGTGGGGGTAAAGAACTAATGACTGCAGGTCTGGAAGCTGGGAATGACAGGGAAGCAGACCTCCCTGCCCCCCCACCCAGCCTTGGAGGGAGCACAGTCCATTCTGAACTTACAGGTGATGGTGTGATTTATGGCACTTTCAGACCCTCTGCTTATGATGACTTGCTGCAACTGCAGGAAATGAACACATTCTGCTTGCTGTGAGCCAAGGACAGGGTGTCACTAGATGGGCCATCAAGGGGCTGTTCTTGATGGACATGACGAAGAATTTGGTCTTGACCTTGGAATAAAGGCAGATATTGTAGCAGATGCCTGTAATCCCAGCACTGGCGAGGATTACACTGGGAGGATTTAGCATCTGAGGCCAGCCTGGGCTATGCAGCTGTTAGGGTTCTAGAGTAGTCCCACAAAACTAAACAACTCCCCACGTACGTAATCAGCAAGAGCATTTATTTTCTCAAGAGTAAAGATTCCAGTATGCAGGGGCTCAGCCATGTGACTCAAGGACAAAATGGCGTCAACAAGAAGCGCATTCAGGCTCCTTTAAGCAAAGGTAAGGGGAATTTCAGGGACGGTACCGTCATCTCAAATGTAATTGGTTAGGTAAACATCAGTCACATCAGTACGTTTCTAATTGGCTGTGGTTATAATCTTACCATTTTGGGGCATACCTGGGCAAGGCAGGGTATGTTTTAGGGAGATTACAGGAACTGTCCTTTTTGGTCATTGCCTTGAGGTACTGTGGGGGTTGACTCGGGCCTGGTGTGTATTCTCCCCCTCATCCCTGTGTGCATGCTGTCTCTCCCTTTGTTTGTCCTTTTAGGAAACTGAAATTCTTACCCAGTTGTAAAGTGGGAAAAGTTCAGACCTTTTATAGGGAGAATCTGTATCAAAAAAACCTAAACCTAAATAAATAAAATAAGGTCAAGTCATTGGGATGTTCTAAGCAGGGGAGCTATGATCCAATTTTTTTTTTTTTAACAAAGAACTTTGCTTCCGGGTGGGGATGTGACCCAAATTCGTAGGGGCAGAGATGAGAGAGAAGAAAGAGGAAAGGCGGCTGAGGAACGAGTGCAGGCTGGGTAATGGTGGGGAGGTGGAGCTAGGTGAATAGACCCCAGAGACCCTGTGGAGGTGAGTGCCCGGGGCTTACAGGTAGATGGGAGAGGTCTCAGGGAAAGGGAAGAATCTAGAATGACAGATTTTAGTCCCAAGCACCCGGGAGTTGGGGAGAGCAGGTTGGAAATAAACTGGGAAGGGAAAGGCTTCTGTTTTGGATGGTCGAGTTTGCTATGCCTAGAAGTCAAGTTACACTGTATCGGTCTGGAGTCCAGAGAGGCACTTCCAGGGAGAGTGGGGTGGGTGTCCTCAGCCTCAAAATGAGGAGTTCTTAGACCTGCGTGGCAGAATCCAGGAGAGACAGAGAAGAAATAAGGGGCCAGAGCCAAGTGTGGTGGTGCACACTAGTAATTCCAGCGCTTGGGAGGTAGAAACAAAACAGTTTGGGTCATCTTTGACTACGTTCTGAATTGGGGTCAATCTGGACTACATGTGACTCCATCTCAAAGAAAAACATCATCAGTCGATCAATCAAAAATTTAAAAAGGAAAACAATAACAAAACAAAAAGGGAAATGAGATATTACAAAGACCCAGACACGGATGACACCCAGAACTTGGTAGGAGATTACTGGCAGAGTCAGAGTTTAACTTTCTGGATTTTAAAAAACCCAGCAGATGACACCAAAGGGACTCGGGCCTGAGCAGGTACCCAGTGAACTCAGGTTCTTAGTCTTAAACTTCTTTGGAAAGTTAATGGAGAACACATTCGCGCGTAGCCCTTGGCTCAGGCTGGTCCTTGCAGACTTCCCACATGGCCAAAAGTACCTAGTTCTTGTGTGCAGAACAAAAAGTACCAGGGCAGGAGACTTTTCTAGGTTTTAGTTTAGGAAACTTTTCAGATTTTAGTAATCTTTGTCATGATCCTGGGAGAAAGTGGTCACTGAGTATTTCCCTTACCCCTGCCTCAGCCTCCTCCACGATCAGGCAGCAAGATACTGAAATGAACGTGGGGCTTTGAAATATGATTGAAAAGGCTGGGGGTGGAGCTCAGTGGGAAAGCACTTGCCTCGCACTGTGGCACTGTGCGGTCCAGGGTTGAGTCTCCAACACCGAGAAGAAACGTCCCAGCGGAACCGTGTCTGAAGTGGGCTGAGTCTCGGCCAAGTTCTGACGCTTTACTTCGATAGTGCATGGTCAAGACTTCTCCTCCCACGCAGCGGGCAGGCACAGTGTGGTGGGTTAAGCTCTGGAATTGCTCATGCTCAGCCTCGGGTTTGGGACAGTGGCGGCAGGTCATCCGGGACACGGGGAGTGAGCTGAGCAATTTCCTGTTTGGGAGTTACATCCAAACAGACTACAGCTGTGTTGGGGAAAACCCAAACTCTTTAGCTGTGCTCCCCAGAGGCTCCTGTTGTGACTCTAAATCTCATTGCAATTTATAATTATTTTCCTCAACAAGCCACCAGCCAATCCTGAGCACAGCTCTCCCCTGTCACTCATCCTGTCAACCTTCGTCCTAAGGAACAGTCATTTGTCCCCCAAATCGAAGTAACTTCCTTCCTTTATTGTTCTCTTTCCAAACTTCTCTTTACCTTATTATTATTATTATTATTATTATTATTATTATTATTATTATTATTATT